GAGGAGTGGCTGGTGGGTTTGAACCACCAGCCTCCTGGTTAGCAGTCAAGTGCCTTAGGCACTATGCTACCAGAGCTCCTAGGCAAGTATTAAGACTCATAAATGAGGAAACAGACTCAGAAATGAAAAGGTTTACAGAGTTGGTGATGATAGACACAGAATTTATGCTGTCTCTTGATTAATGGCCCAGGTCTCCTGCGCTTTAGCTTCTCTCCCACCTTGCCTTCGGGAAGGAACGCAGAGGACAGATCCTTTCCATGATCCAGGTGGATTTCAACAAACAGGTTTCCCATCTGCTCTTGTCCTTTCCTGCCTCCACAGGTGGTCCATGCTGGCCCTCGCCAACCCCCACACCACGTGGTTAGGTGGGTAGATCCCACAACTCTGTGTGAGGAGCTTCTGCTTCCACTGGAGCCCCCACCTCAGGGGGGGCCCCGCCTGCTGCTTACAGGCCTTCACGCCTGTGGGGATCTGAGCGTAGCCTTGCTGAAGCACTTCTGCTGCCCTAACGTGGCAGCCCTGGCCTTGGTGGGCTGCTGCTACATGAAGCTGAGTGACCCTGGTGGCTACCCACTGAGCCACTGGGTGGCCAGGTTGCCTGGCTATGAACTGCCCTACAGGCTGCGGGAGGGGGCCTGCCATGCCCTGGAGGAATATGCTGAGCGGCTACAGAGAGCAGGTCCTGCCCTCCGAACCCACTGCTATCGGGCAGCACTGGAGACTGTCATCAGGTGTGCCCAGCCCGAGCTCCGTAGGCCAGGCGTGCAGGGGATCCCCAGGGTCCACGAGCTCAAGATTGAAGAGTAAGGTTCAGGAAAGCAGAGTGTGTGTGTGTGTGTATGTGTGTGTGTGGGCATCACCAACCAGAGGTCTCCCACTTTATTTATTAGCATGTCCTACAGAAAAAAAAAAGCTTATAGTGAAAAAAAAGTGCACAAGAGTGTGATTTTAAATTCTCTGAGTGGGTAGCTCCTCAAAATTCCTTTAGAGGGAATTTACCAAACTTTTATCAGAAGACTGTATCAAAGTAATATAAAGTTTTTAAAACGCTAAAAATGTAGGTATGTAATTGGACAGAACTGGCTCAAAGTAAATTTTTAGATTCATTTGTCTTTAGACAGCTCATAGCCAGAGAAACATTTAAAGATGTGTATTAGTGTAGCAAATCAAGCAGAGCTGGAATCAAATTAGGAACAGGCAAAGTTCAAGTGGGGGGTATGCACGCGGAGGGGGTGGTATCCCGTAAAACTGAACTGTGTGCTATCTGTGGCTGGCTCTACAGATATGTGCAGCGGGGGCTGCAGCGAATAGGGCTGGACCCCCAGCTGCCCCTGAATCTGGCTGCCCTTCAAGCCCACCAGGCCCAGGAGCACCGTGTCGTAGCCTTTTTCAGCTTGGCTCTGCTGCTGGCCCCACTGGTGGAGACACTGATTCTGCTGGACCGGCTGCTTTACCTTCAGGAGCAGGGTGAGGGTGGCCTACAGCAGAGGCCTAGGGCCATAGGGGCTGGAGTGCTAGGTCTTCCAGTCCCATCTGGGACTAGATTCTTCACTCGGTGATCACTGAACCACCTGCTTCAGAATCATCAGTAGGGTGGGAGTGAGGGAGTAGTTTAAAAATGCAAATTCTACCTGAATCAGCCTCTGGGGGTATATCCCAGCAAGCCTCCCAGGCTGAGAATCTACAATGAGAGCACTAAGGAGTGCCCCTCCCAAGTCAGGACCTTGGGCACCCAGGCTTTTTATAGAGATCTGGGTCTCCTTAGTTCCCCTGGAGCTTCATTGGGGAAGAGGGCCTATGCCTACAGGTTGTGCAGGAAGTGCCTGAGTAAGGGTTTGGTTCATTTCTCACCTTCTGAGTACCTTTGCCTTTCTCCCAGGCTTTCATGCTGAGCTCCTGCCCCTCTTCAACCCTGAACTCTCTCCCAGAAACCTGGTTCTGGTGGCCACCAAGAGGCCCCTGGGTCAGGCCTTCTCTGTCCTGGAGACTGAAAACAGCTGAGAAAGCCTGAGGAAGGGCATTTCTCAAATCCCATTTCAAACCACCCAGCACCACAGTGGGCAGCAGAGTCTGTACCTCCTCACCCAGAGAACCAGCACCCTGCATCCTCCCTGGAATCTTGGTGCCCTACAAGTCTTCATACCCTTTCTCTCTCTCTCCATGTGTTACAGAAGATCATGTAAAGTTTATAAGGTTTAATTTATTAAAAAAAAATTGAAATCTTTATTTCCCTTCCATTTTTGTAAGTCTAGGAAAGGACAGACATGCAGCCTCTTTACAGAGGTCCCGCAGAGGCCGTACAATTAAGTCTAACACCCGCAGCCCCTACTGTTCTCCATAACAGGGGGCTTGGGTAATATTTTCTGTTACTCAACATTCTCCATGAAGGGAACATTTCTCTCTCTTTGGTCCCCATCCTAGAATCCACAGGCCCTACTCTTCCGGGGGGGCCTCTTTAAGGCTGGTGACTTCCATCTAGATTCTGTCATATCAGGACAGATACTCCCTCCTGTCAGTCCCTAAATGCAGAGTACACTAGGGTTGGGGGTATCAGTGTACCAGAAGATAGCAGCTGTACACAGAGGAGTATTCACAGCTCTTTATTGGGAGTCTGGAGTAGATAGACCCAGTGTCTGTCTAAGACAGAGGCATAGGGGAGAAGCTCCTTGGGCTCAATACCAATAGGATTTCTTGTGTTTCCGGCTCTCCTGGATCCCCATTGCCTCCATCACTTCCTCCTCCAGTGTCTTTAGACGGGGCACATAGGTTCTTTCTAGAGCATCTTCCACTGATGTGTCTTTGGGGCCATCTATTGGGCCAGAGGACAGGAGGTGAGTGGGAGGACTTGCTAACTTCAATTTCCTTTACATCCCTTCCTCCCATTCCTCCCCTCATCTTCCTGCCCCTCACCTAAACTCACCAGTCCATGTTTCAGGGACGATGCCATCAGCTCTGGGAAATTCAGGTTTGGGGATAATTCTTCCTGATCTCGTGGAGACCCGGACTCGCTCTCCTGCCTCAGTGAACCTCCATTCTATCTCAGTGGGTTTCCTGGGGGATAGGACAGGTGAGCTTAGCCTGGGAGCCAAATCCCCTGCTACCTTCCTCCCCAAAAGTAGAGTCTGGCTAAAAACATCAAGGGCATCATCTTATTTCCCTGCTATCTCAACAGGGGATATACACGGGAAGGTCATGCTCATGAGATGGTCCCACCCAATTTCTAGAGCATCCAATCCATCATCTTATCTGTTGACATGCCCTCTGTACCCCCTCTATTTCCAATGGAGAAAAAGGCTCTCCCGTATGCTATTTAAAACCTGGGTAGACTCAGAGGATAGGAAACCCTAACCAGAGCCCCATTTGCTTGCCTGTCCACAGGATCCACAAGTGTGACCTGGTGGTGAAGCAGTGGGGCTTCACTAGGGATCATGGTTCCCCGGTAATCCTTGGTCTTGCCAATGTAGCGGTAATGCTGTCCAAGAGAGAGGGGACATCAGAAACCAAGGGATGGAAAGGGACTTCTCACTACTGCTCAGAGCATTAAGCTCAAGTTGAAAAGTAGAAGGGTTTAGTTGTACCATCATCCCCTCTTCCAGTCTCCCACCTCCCTGCATTGCTAATGGAGAAGGACAGATGTGACGGGAGTCTTGATGACAACTCTCCTCCCCCCCTTAACTTACTGTGTTCAGCCCCTCCAGGACAACCCAGTTTCGCTGCCGGATAACTTGAACCACTTTGCCCTGCTTCCCAGCATCTTTCCCTTCTAGGATCTCCACCTGTGGGAAGACAAGAGTCAAGGAGAGGGACTATTGCCCAGGAGCAACCCCACCATCCCACTTCCTGTCTGAGGCTCTCACCACATCCCCACAGAACAGATGCCAGTCTTCGTCAGAGATAGGTTCCACAGCCACCCGGCGCCGCCTGGTCCCCGGAGGGTTCTTCCTCTTGTCTGCCAGGGAGCCTGGGCGGCTCATCCCATACCGGTAGTTAGGAGGCAGATTAACCTTGGATGCCATGGCCAGCAGGGCAGAGAGACGCATGGCTGGAGGTTATCAGAAATCTTGTATTATCTAATTTAAGCCTTAGAATAAACCAATGAAGAAGGTGCTATTAATCGATAAGAATGAAGCCTGACTTCAAAGAACAAATAAAATTAATTGTAATGGTATAAAAGTCCGTGGACTGGGAATCAGATAACGTGGGTTCTACTCTTTGCTTTGCCATCATCTTACTCTGTGACCCCAAGCAACTTAACTTCTGAATTCAGTTTCATCATCCATAAAACTTTATAGGATTGTTGTTATTTAAATTATTTAAAAATCACTGTTAACAAAGCAAGGTGCAAAGTAACATGAATAGTATAATCCCTTTTGGATAAATTAAAAATACATATTTCAGCACCGCTATAGATACCTTGGAGAGGGAAACAGGAAACAAAATATTTGCCTTTGGGGAGAAAATCTTTCTGGGAGTTCTGTTCCTTTCCACATTTGTATTTTCTAGCTATGCACACTAAAAAAGTAAACCAATTTATCTGGGCAATGGATAGATACTGGATCAAAAAGAAAGAAAAAAAAAAATCTCACTGCCATCAAGTCAACTCTGACTCATAGTGGCCCCCTTTGGGTTTCCAAGGCAGTAAATCTTTACAGAAGTAGATTGCCCAGTCGTCCTTCTGCAGGGTGGCTGGTGGGTTTGAACTACCAACCTTCTGGTTAGCAGTCCAATGCCTTAGGCACTACATCACCAGGGCTCCTTAGATCTTGGGTGGTGGTGGTGGTGGTTATGTGCCATTGAGTCAGACCCAACTCATTAGGAAATCTCATACAAATACATAGACATTAAAACCTGTGAAAGCCAGAACTTGGGTAAGGCAGAAACCTGTCAAAGAGAAACTTTATCAGAGAAGAAATTGTTTTATCACTAAAATGAACAATAAGAAAAGTAGTTAAGACTGCACCCTGTCAAAGGCAGAAAACTTGTGAGACCTAGAAAAAGTCATGTCATGTTCTGGCTCTCACAGGTTTCACTGTGTGTGTGTGTGTATGTGTGTATATATACATGGCCAATTGTTATTCTGAATTAATGCTGGTTGACTGTAAAAGTCTGTTTTTCCATTCAGAGTCAAAGTTTCCAGAGCACTACTGTGTGACAGACAATACTGATAATTTCACTATTAATGGCATTTGATCTTCACAGTGCCCAGTAAGAGGCTGCCAAGTGCAAGCACTAATATAAGGCCTGTTTTACAGACAAGGAAACCAAGACCCGGAAGGCTGGAGTGACTTGCCCGAGTTCATACAGCTTGACAGGTACAGGGCCAATCTTAAGGCCTAAGCCTCTTGCGTGACTGCTACCATAAGTCCCTTAACCGCCCATTCCAAGTCTGAGGCTCTGAGAATAGATCTCAAGAGCTAGTCCAGAGCAGAGCAGAGCAGCTTACACGTCCTCTAGATCTTCACCTCCTTTCTCTCCACATCCTGGAGCAGCTTCTCCAGTGGGGCTCTCGCGGTGCAAGCAGTGGGGTACTGCGTCTTCCCCACCCCGCCCCTGCTGCAAGGGCTGCCCCCTGCCTGGCCTATCCTGGGTGTTGACGCCGATCCCGCACACCCCAGGCCGCAGCAGTCATCAGCATCCACCCCGCTCCAAAGTGCAAGGACACCCCAGGAAGGCGACTAAGCAACAAGAAGTGGGGGGGGGGGGGAGGCCTTCCGGCATGCGCCTCCTAAACAAGCCCCAGAGCTGCAACACATTTGGGCCACGCGGCCCTCACCTCCACTTCCCGCTGCGCCGCAGAGCCACCGCTTGTCACTTCACTGCACGTGGGCCCTCAGCCCCGCCCGCCCCTGTCCTTAGCTTCCTGGGAAATGTAGGCTAATTGTGGAGCGGAAGTTCAGCAGTTACTCTAACTTCTCTGTTCTTGGGAGATGTAGTCCGCCGCCAAGAAGCACGCTGGAAACAGGAAATTTAGCCGGGGTGGGAAACCAAGGAAGCGTAATAACACCGTGAAGCACGTCGGGAATTGAAGGCGGCCGCGTCTGGCACGCTCCCGCGCATGCTCTGCGTGGAGGCGACTGGGGATTGTAGTTCCTGAGGCTGGCTCCATTTTCTAGGTGGTTATGGTTTCCTGTTTAAGGCAAAGGATCTCCGTTTCCAGTCAACACTACGGCCAATTCTCTCCCCGCCCTTCTCTGGTAGAAGGAGCCAGAACAGATTCAAAATTGTCAAGAGGACGTCTAGAGGAGGAGATGAAACGTGGGCCCTTGCAATGCTAGTGACAAAATGTCAGATCTGGAAGGAACCCTAGGGATTATCTATCTAATCCAGCCATCCGTTTAGGGAGTGAAAGGCTGAGGGTGTTTTGGGGAGAAAGGGAAACAAAGTCGCCCAAAATCATAGAAACAATTAGTGGCAGACTCAGAATTGGAGTTCAAGGAGTACTGGCGAGATTCTACCTTACCAACGTCCCCCTAACACTAGGTAAGGGGTTGTTGGCATCCCTAAGTCTGCCGAGGGTTCAAAATGTTTCTACCACCAACCCAAATATCCTCATTTCTGTGGCCGCTTCAGTCAGTGGCTGATACTGGCACCCTTCTACATAATACTCCTTATGACTCCCTCCACACATACACACCTACTCCTAAGTGCTCATGGAGGAACCAGTGTTAAATAGTAGCTGGGCAGGACAAGAATGAATGGAGTGATATTCTGGGACTCTACCTTCATCTAGAATTTTGGATTTCTAACAATAAGGAATACATGAGACTCGCATGCCCACATCAATCTGAGATGATTTGCAAATCATCTGTATTCCTTCCACCCAAGCCCATTCTTCACTTAACCAATATACCCCAAAGAATCAGTCAGAATCCAATATAGTAATCAACGGGTTTTATTTTCCTAGAACTGAAATTGTCTACGGTTCTCAGAGCTAAACTTTTCCAAAGCTACAGTCAGCAATTTTTCATCAGAGCCCAAGGGAGAGGGGCAAAGGCGAGAGACAAGAGACTGAAGAGAGGCATAGAGAGACCACTAGGAAGAGCTCGGCAGAGGGCACTTAATTCTCTCTCTCCTCTCAGAGTAAGTTACAAATCAGATCTGTTGACAACACTGAGGGGACCAGGTGGGGGTATGTGGATGGGAAATGACACCGGAAGGAACACCAAAGCCCCAGCTAGAAAATTAAAGTCATCAAGCCCCAAACGGATGGGGAGCCTCCCAGTACACCTTAGAAATGGGGGTAACAGTGGGGGAGATAGGAGCAGAATGGGGGTACACGAAGGGGTAAGGGATCATTAAAAATTTTTTTTTTGTAATTTTCTTTTATTAAAAACATTTCCTAAAAAATGTGTCTTTTCCTTTATATCTGGGTAATTTATATGACTGTAGGCTGGCCTTTGAGTGCTTGTGGGGAGAGGGAAGAGGGCAGCTAGGTTCTCCCCAGGGTATCCCATTTCTGGCCCCAGAGATTAAAGGGGAACAGATGCTCTTCACTCCCACCCAAGCTGGGTGAAGTCAATCCTTCAGAGTTCAAGTTCTCGGCCCAAATAACTTGGAAGCCCCCCATATCTTCTGATGATAAACTAGAACTCCCAGAACTCCCTGGGTCAGCAAAAGGAAGAATGGGCATTGCCCTCTGGAAGGAAGCCCATCCCCCATAAGCTGTCCCACTTTCCCTGAATCTAGGTAGCTGGGATAATAGGTGTGGGAGGAAACAGAGCTCAGTAAGATGCCACTGTCCCGCTCACCACCCCTACTATAATTTGAAGAATGCCCTGCCCAGGCCCCGCAGAAATCCACCCTGTTGTTTATCCTCCAGCCCTTCCACTCCTACCCAATTCCAACCCAAAACTTCAGAATGGGTTGTCAAGAGGTGGGAAAAGCTGGTCCAGGCCCCGAGTCCTGGGAAACAGCTCTAGGCAGGGAAGGAATATGGCCTCATCTCACCCCAGGTAGCCCTGACTCAGATTACAGGGGTGTGGTGACATGAAGGCTAGGGCCAGGTGGCTTACCCCATCCAGGTCAATCTCCAGGGGCCAGGCTTGGAGGGCGAAGAATGAGTGGAAGAGGGGAATGGGGTGGGGTGGGGTGGGGAAGGGGTTCCCAGTTTGCAGGCCATGGCCAGTTTCCCCAGTAGCACCCAGACAGCAGCAGGAACGGGGCAAGGGCTCCTCTTGAAACATTGGTGGCTACAGGCTGCAGGGGAAGGTTGGAGGGGAGAAGGGTTAATAGTGTGGCCTTGGCCTGGCCTTGCCCCAGCCAGTGCTGGTCTCCTGGGAGAGCCCACCCTGCCTCCTGAGAGGCTGACCTCTGCAGGCCTTCCTCCTCTCCAAAGGTACCTTGGGCCCTCCCAGCTGAGCTGCCAAGGGGGCAGGGGGTTCACTCACCTCTCATGATCTCTGATGCCTGGGGCCTCAGCATCTTCCTTGGCAGCCTCTTCTTCTTCTTCTTCTTCCTCTTCCTCCTCCTGAGGAGGCCCCCGACCAGAGCCAGGTTCAGAGGGAGTGCTATTCTTCTCCACCTCTACAGGGACAGGTCTCTCACCCTCCTTCTCCTCCCCTTCAGGGTCATCAGCCTCCTTGAGACGTTTCGGGGAGTCCTAGGCAGGATTGGCAGAGACAAGGTGGGCTGAGGCTGCAGAGGGTAGAATGCCATCCACCTACCTGTGCTTCCATTCCTTCTCCAAAGCTCCTTCCTGGGTTGATACCCACCAATCCCTTCCTTAGCTTTCTACTAGCTAAAAAGCCCTCTTCAGATGGGGATTCGGGCTGTATCTCTTAAACTGGGGGGTTCCCTAAAGTAGTAGACATCTTCCTCCTCAGACTGTGTGCTCCCTAAGGCAGAGCCTGCTCCTGCGGGGATGCCCCACAGTAAAAGCTCAAGGGGGTACAGGCCCAACATAGGGGTCAATTACCTCCAGCAGGTCCCCTGCTCTTCTCTTCAGTGCCCCCTTCTCATTCTTCTCCTTGGTTGGCTCATCAATGACCAGCTTCCCCTCCTCATCACTGCTGCCCTCAGCATTCCCCTTCTTGTCACCATCACCCTCTGTGGCCTCAGGCTCTGGCGCGGGCTCTTGCACTCGGCTTTTTTTCTGGGAGGACTACAGCAGAGACAGCAGGGGCTGAGTGGCACTATTGGTGTCCTGCTGGGCCCCCACCCCAAACCCCTCCCTTGGCCACTCACTCCTTCCTTTTCCCACCTCTCCCCCACCCCCACCCAGGTGCCCAGTCTCACGAGTGATTTGAGACCCACCTCTGTTGGATTAGCCCTGGGGCAAACCCACTGGCCGGGCAGGCAGGGCTCTGTGCAGGAGGGGGGAGGGCTGGAGCAGGAGGCAAAACCTCGGGTCAACTTCTCCCAAAGGGAGCTGGGACCCTATCCCCGCCAAACCCCGCCCCCCACCCTCCCGCCTTGTCCTGCCCGGCTCACGAGCACCTCCTCCTGGAAGCCTTTGTGGAAAGTCAGGGCCACATCCTATATTTACACTGGGCCCAACAAAAGGCCTATTCCCACTTACCGCCTCCATTCTTTTCTTGCCCCCTAGGCTGTTAAGAGTTGCTCATAACCAGAACTACACCACATACCCACAACCAACCCCACCCACTCTTCTTCAGGAAGATACCCCCAGATGGGCTCCCACGCCAAAAGCCCTGGTGTTTCTGAGCCTTGGTCCCTGAAGACTAAGCATCCTCTGTGGGTCTTGGGCTCCCGGAGCCCATGATGGCCACACCTGCTTTCCAGGGGGTCGTTGGGGCAGATGGAAACTCACCTGGTAGCCAGAAGCCTTGACAGTAGGGTTGTTCTCGATCTCCCACAGCCCCTCGCTGAACCCTTTCCTCTTGTTGGGCTTGCCAAACTTCTCCTTGGACTCTTCATAAGGGAAGAGGTCTTTGGGGCCCAGGAATGCCCTGATGAGAGATGGGAGACTGTGCTCTCTAGCGCCTCACTGCCTCTGAGCAGAGGCTTCCTCCCCAGAACTGCCCCACAGGCGAGGGACACCAACACCCCCTCTCTCCCAAAGTGGTCACCCCATGGTCCTTCCCCACCTATGTTCCCTCAGACCCTTTACTCACGTCTCATGGGTCCCGAAAAAGAAGACTTGGTATTTGTTGGCTGTTGATTTCACTGCAGCTTCAGGCATCTCGTCAATCTGGGAGTAAGATGCAGGAAGTGAGTGTGAGCTGGGTTTCTGAGACCATGAATTTGGGGTAGGGGATTGACCTCCAAGGCACATTTGTATAAAACTAGACAAGGAAAACTCAGGAAATCACCAATGTGATTTTTGAGCCTTTTGCTTTGTTTTGTTTTAGCAGTGGAATCTTTGTCCAAATTAAGTTAGATGTGCAAGACCAACCAACACTCGAGAGTCACCCCATCTCTTTCACAAACCAAACAGCATCCTTTCTGCCTCCTAACATGTCCAAAACCTCTCCATAAATCTCCATGTCTTTGCCATCACCCGGGTCCAACCACTGTCCTCTCTTGCCTAGACTAAAATCATAACCTCTATCTCTTCTTTCAGTCTCTGTCCCTGCACATTACAATCCATTCTCCACACTGCAGCCAGAGTACCCCTGGCTTGAAACCGTCAATGACTTTTCATGACTCTAGGCCCCACTTCATGATGTCAGGATCTGAATCTCAATAATGCTACTAGTATTTGTATGACCTTAGGCAACTTAACCTCTGCCTCCATTTCCTCATCTGCAAAACAACCATGTACTTAAATCATAGGCTTGTGAGGATTAAAGAAAAACAGCATGCCATATAGTAAGTCCTACATAGGGGTTAGGTGTCCTCCTCCTCTCCCAGTCCACTGCCCTTCATACTCTGCTCCATCACTGCTGTTGTTCCCACTTCTCATACTCACTAACTCCTGATCACCCTTCCAACCTCAGCTCCATCATGACTTCCTCTGGAAAAGATTCACCATCTCTCTCCACCTGGCCAACTCCCCACACAAAATTCTCCTAGTACCTTTCCTTCATAAAATCAACCAAAAACCAAACTCACTGCCATCGAATCAATTCTGACTCATAGCGACCCCCTTTGGGTTTCCAGAGCAGTAAATCTTTCCAGAAGTAGATTGCCCAGTCTTCCTTCTGCGGAGTGGTTGGTGGGTTTGAACCAAGCTTCTAATTACCAGTCAAATGCTTTAAGCACTATGCCACCAGAGCTCCTTCATAGCACTTCTTAAAATTCCAATCTTATTCATATTATCATTTGATTCATGTCTGTCTGTATCATATTTGCTCTGAGAACAGAGTCCATTTCTGTTTTTATCTCCACCACAGTGCCTAACACACAGTAGGTGCAGAATAAATATTTGCTGAATCAATTTATGAAATAGGTAAATGTAGACTGTTCTAATTTAAGTAGAGAGTTGGGGCCAAGGTACTGCTTATCAAGAGCCCCCTCTAGTCGCAGCCCTAAGGGGTTTCTGGGGCACACTTTGAAAGCCACTGATGTGGTCAAGCCTTCACATTTTACAGATGAGGAAACTGAGACCCAGAAAAGGAAAGTGATTCACCCAAGATAACAGGGCAAGGATGAGGGCCAAATCTCAGACCTCTATCCCCTGACTTACCCTGTTGAGGGGGTGGGTGGTGCCTGAAGAATGCTGTGGTAGAGAAGGTGACAGATCAGAGGTCAAGGAAATGGAAGGACCAGAAGCAGTGGCCCAGTCAGCCTCTCCCAGATCTCAGGCCCTGAAAGTCCAGGACAAGCTGAGCTATGGAAGGGGGAAAACTACAACTCCCAGCAACACTTGCTGCAGCCCTTAGCAGCCTGGCTTCCCGCCGGACAGAGGCCAGGTGGCCATGTTGACTGGGGGTCTAGGCACAGGCAGGAGACAGATAGACAGGCCAAGGCAGTGATTAACACACAGAGACAGGGACGGAGCACCTGACTGGGGGCCTAGGGAGACAGGGTGACTGGGAGGATGGGAATGAGCTGAGACACATCCAGGAAAGAGGGTAGGAGGCTCTGGGCATGAATCTGAGGGACATCTTGCCCCAGACATGGAGGCTTCAGGTTCCTGGACACTTTCCCCTTTGCCCTGTGGCCTCTGGGGCTAGAGGTCCAGCCCCTCCCCCTACAAAGGCAGGGCACAAACTGGACCTTCCCCATGACCAGGAGACACTGGGGTATGAGTGTAGGGGGTGGAAAAGCATGCTGATCCCCCCACAAACATGATCCTTATCGTCATGACAACGAACCCCGCCCCTGGGGCCACTCAGCAACCAGGAATGTGACTGCCCTTCCCCCCTAGGCCCTCCCTCTGGATTGGGGAGGAGGGGACACACTAAAACACACACCCCACCCTCAAGTCTGGAGTCTGGCACCTGGGTCCCTGGCTGTGCTTGCAACCGCAGCTAGTTCTGGGGTGGGTGGAGGAGGCCAGTATTCACCCAGGACACCTGGGTCCTGTTACCAGCTAGTTCCCCACCCCCCTTCTCAGAGGGGGAAGCAAAAAACAAAATGAGAGCCTCCAGGGCTTAGAGATCCCAGGAGACAGGCAAAGGACAATAATAGCAAAAGCCCTTCCCTAGGCCTCCCTTCTTGGTGGATCTTCCTGCACCAGGAACCAGGGCGGGGGCGGGCTGTGTAGGGATCTAAGCGTCTGAGGCTGGCAGGGCAGAAGGGAACTTTGATCTCCACATTTTCAGTGCCCAGAGCTGAGCCAGAGACTTAATATGCTCTCAATAAATGTGTGATGAAAGGGGGAGAAACTGAGGCTCAGGAAAAGGGGGTGGGGTGGATGAAGTGCCAGAGATGAGGAGACATGAGACGCACAGTTACTGCAAAGCAGCTACCCGACCATCTGTCTCTTGCCACCCTAGTTTCCCATGAAAAGCAGGCTCAGAGAAAAGGGGGAGTCACCCGGTGTGGCAGGGGACCCAGGAGGCCACCAGCTGCCCAGCTTCGGGGGGGGGGGGAGAAACAAAAGAGCGGATGGGAATTAAAAATAGAAGGAACAAGACACACTGGATATACCTGCCTTGCTGACTTCGAGCCAAATAAAGGGTGGGTCTGGAGGGAAAAGGAGCTTTGGTTGCATAGTGGTTAAAGCATTCAGCTGCTAACCAAAAGGTCAGTGGTTCAAACCCACCAGCTGTTCCACGGGAGAAAGATGAGTCAGTCTTCTTTCGTAAAGATTTACAGCCTCAGAAATCCTATGGGGCAGTTCTATTATGTCCTAAAGGGGCTATGAGTCAGAATCAACTCGATGGCAGTGGGAATGGGCTCAAGGGAGGAGGATGGGGACCTGGGCAGATGGGCTTCTACTCCAAAAGGGCCATTCCATCCCCCTGCCTCACTCTGTCTGTACAGGCACCTGTGGGGTAAGGGCCAGGAGGTGAGCTCTTTTTACTTAATTGAATTCCTGCCCCTCACCCAAAAAAAAAGAAGAGAAGCCCCTTCTGTAGTAGAACTTCCATCGCTCAAGCTACAAAGAAAGTATCTTTTCTTGCATTTGGAAGAGTGGTTCTTCCTAGACATAGAGAATATGAGGTCTCAGGGGACCCCCTGTACCCCTGATATAGCCATGTCTTCCAGGCAGTGCCTTTATATCCAGGCTGTGACTCAGAACCAGTGAGTCAAAGCTAAGTGGGTCAGGGTGGAGCCAGATGAATGCTGGGGACCCCACTCCATCCCCTCCACTGCCCAACAAGGGAGGAGGCTCTGCTACCCCCCAAGTCATTCCTGGGGTCCAGGAAAGTTACTTCTCCCCTCAGGCATCGGCCTACCCACCCTCACCCTCACCCCAGTTCCTCTGCATTTAGCTGGCTCCATCAGACAGGCCTGAGCACATGAAACTCCAATCTTCCAGGAGTCCATGGACACCCTTCAAAGTCTGAAGAGGAATGTGATGTTTTTCAGGTGAGGAGTAAGGGACAGGACTGAACACCTCTCCCCCTGCCTCAAACCAAATACCGGCCCAAGCTCACCTGCCTAGCACTTAGGAAGGCAGTGGGGGAAAGCTAAGCCCACACTGGCTGCCGGCCAGGGCTCTGACCACCACACCCAGGGCCAAGGCCCAACCTGACCCAGGAACAGGAAAATCTGGGGCAAGAGACAGTTGGGAATGGGAACGTGTAGCAAGACCAAGAGACAGAAAAGAGAAGGAGGAAGGTGGTGCCTAGATGTGGGGGGAGGGGCAGAGGGGGGAAAGAGGGGTGAGGCCCTCTTGCTGCTCAGGTTTTCTGGGATTGTGAAACAGGAAGCAGAGAAAAAAGGAAGGAACCTGGGGGGAAAATATCTTTGAGTCTTGGAGGTTGTTAAGTGCATGGAGATCTCCCAGGAAGTTAGGCTGGGGGAAGAGGGAAAGGAGAAGGTTAAGATGGAGTCACACCATCCTTCCAGGCAGGTCCTGCCTACCACGTGGCTTCTCTTGCTGGGCTCTCTAAGCCCAGGGCCATTCTAGTCTCACTCAGAGTCACCCATCCATCCTAGCAGCAGGGGATTAAGAAAGGAAAGGTCATCCTGACTGAGGATTTTGGCCACCTATTAGATAGGCAGCCAGAAAAGCTCCCTCCTGCTCTTCATCCATCTCATAAGGGATACTCTAGGAACTGGGAGTCCAAAAAATGGTGACGACCCTCAGATAGTCAGAAGACAGGCAAAGGGTGGGGTACCATCTTTTTGGGATCTAGTCTGATCTCCCTCTCCCAACCTTGACTTTATCTGAATGGTCCAGACCTCAACAGAGTAAGAGACTCTGCCTCTCCTGTCCCACCCTCTGTTTTAGAAGCCCTGGGTGAAAATAAGTAGTAGATGTTATTCCCAGTCCCAGGCACTGCCCTCAATCCAAAGGCCACCAGAAACCTGAGGATCTTGTTTACAGGGACTTTTGGTGTCCCTACCCCTTTTCTCTCTTCTCTGATCCAGAAGAGGTTCCCTACAATCCACATTCCAACTAACCACCCCTCCTCAGGGCCTAGCCTAGTCCCTGGTCTTTGCCCCACCCCCAGGAGGCAAGAGCAGCAGAGACTGGGGTTCAGTTCTTGCCCTGCCCACCAGGGCCTTGGCATCTGGGCCAAGAAGTCAGTTGGATCAAAAGTGTGGGGTAAAGTACACAAGCGTTCACACGCCACATGCATACATACATGTGTACACAATGTCCCCCAGCCCTCTAGGAGGCCCTTGAAGTTGGGGAGCCTGCTTCCCTCCAGAATTCACTTCCCCTCCAGAGGCCAGGCCTTATTTTGCCCATCTGAAAAGTTTCAGGGAACAAGGAGCTATATGAGCTGAGGCACAATCCTGAAGAGAGGGCACAGAGACCTCCTGGGTTTTCTCAAAGTGGCCCCAATGTTGGCCTGACACCCTTAACTGGATCCAGGGGAGCCTGGGGCAACTTCCTAAGCTTAAAACCAGATCCTGCCAAGATGAACAGACACAGACTAACTCTTGAAAAGAAAGTCAAAGTCATTAAACAGTTCTCCTGCACTTGGCCCCCTCCCCCAGAAGACTCCCTTAGCCTACCCTCTCTGCCCTAGGATTTCACTCTAAGGGGCTGAGTCATGCCCTCACCAATATGAAAGGCCCCTCAACACCAACTTTGAAGTAACCAGCAGCAATGCCCCCTGTGACACCATCACTCTCCTCCTCCCCCAGATGGCAACCACCGATCTTCCTTACTTCACCTGTCTCAATCCATAGGAGAAACATAATGAACACACCAGACTTAGCTTGTGGGCTCCACCCTCCCACCTGGCCAGGTGCTGGAAGGCGGGGGAGTGGGGAGGTGAAGGCCCCCATATTGGCGGGTGGAACAACCACATGGCAGACTGGGCCATTCTGGCGGGAGAGATTTCTATCTGGGGGAGGGGAAGAGAAGCAACTCAGACACTCCCTACCCCACCAAAATAGAGACAGTCTGGACTGGACTTACCAACCCCGAAGGGGCCCTCCTACCCTCGGTGTCAAATTTGAGTTGGCAGCATATAGAGGAATATTTTTGCGGGGGTGAAGGATTTTAGCGGATTATTTCCCAGCCTAGTGGACCCCTTACTCTTACACCTCCCGCAAATAATTCTCGACCCTCCCAACTTCAGACCTTTTACGGATGCCACAAACCGAAGTTTTCTGGAAGCAAACTCCCGCTTCCATCTACCCCTTTCCAGGCTAGGATCGTTCCTAACCTTTTAATCTAAGAAGAGGAGAGCATCCAGGGACAGGGCGACAATCAAGGGAGGGGAAAACTAAGGGGGTCCCAGAGTGGGGAGTTGGCGGGGGCTTTGGGGTGGGGTGGGAGGAGTTACACTACTGGCCCAAACGCAGGTTGCGCGCCCGAAACCGCCGGAGTATGGGGGGTGGGGGCGGAACTGAGCACGCGGAGCTCGGCCGGGAAGTGACCAGCACCCTCGGATCCCCACGCCGCGCACACATCTATACGCGCGGACGCCGAACCAGCCAGGTGTTCGCCCCCCGCCCCCCACTTTGCTTCCACCGTTATGTAACCAGCGGGTGGGCTTGAAAGCGACAAGGAAAGAGTCCGGGACCCTGACGCCCCCTGGCCCTACCTCTGGCCCCCCTCGGCGGGGAGCGCGAGTGCCCGCGTAGGTGTTATGCAACCCAAGCCCGGTGAGGACAGGGGGCGGCGGGGCGCACTGCTCACCCGGGCTGGCCAGTGTGGGTAGCCCTTCATCTTGGCGAACACCAGGTCCCCGCATTTGTACTCCTTCTGCCGGTTGGATCGCGACATGGCGGGGCTCCGGGCACCCCGGGCTCCGCGCCGGGCCGGGAAGCGCGAGCCCAAGTTTGCGCGTGCGGCGTTGGCGGCGCCGCTCCGCTCCGGCCCTC